AGCCTTGCTTGAGCAGAGCTTTTCTGATGGAAGAGAAGGCAAATCAGGTATTACAATATTTAATTGACTAGACACAGGGTTAAATCTCAAGGTAATTCTAGCATCTGAAAAACTGTTATCTCTACATTTCAGAAGGTAGAACAACTTCTGGGTTGCTGAATTCTTACTGATATACTCAGCAAGACTGATGTTGTTAATAAATTCCATCTGCTTATCTAGAATCTGAATTATAGTTATTGGTTTAAAATTGTTTACATTATTTGAAACAAATTGTTACAAACATAGCATAGATGTTACTTATTTTTTCAGATTACATAGATTTCAATTTGTTTGATTTATTAACATATATATATATATAAGAAAATATAAAATAAAACACTGTAGATTATTTTCTTGTGATTAACAGAAATTTGGAATATTCCACTATTTCTGGTTATATGACAACTGGAAAGATTGAAAGACTTCTGGGAAGAACTAACCCTGGGATCTTAGATGTATTTGCATCAAGATAACAAATGGAGATTAACTCTTTTAAAAAGATCCATGATTGTTCAAGTCACAAATTTCATTTGTTCATTTGACAAGTATTAGTGAGAAGACTATATGCCAGGTACTGATTTGGTGTCTGGGATGTGGCAGTGAAAGAATAGAAGTCTGTGCCCTTGTTTGGACTGAAACTGAGAATAGACACACCTTGCCAAAATAGTGTCATAATTAATGGAGTAGAGAATGCAAAACCAAAAATGTCAATAGGAATAGTGGGACTGAAATTTACATTGAGATTTCATGAACTTTGGAAAGCATTTGGATATATGATTTACATCTGCAAGGTTCAACTAGTGTTTGTTGAAGGATCTGTTTATAAGAATCTATGGGAGAAATAAGCTTGGTACACTGACAGGGAAATCTTGTTTCCCTTAAGAAAAATATATATATGTATGTGTACATATATAGATATGTATTTTATCAACACTATAAATTTCATTTCCCTTTCTGCATTGGCTGCTGAGAATATCAGTAATAAATTTGAGGCTAACATCTAGCAATGGGAAATGAATGTGTTTTTGTTATCATCTTTCTTTGTTCTTAGAATCTATTTTTAGAAAGACAGGATTTTAAACAAACACAGAAAATGACAGTTACAATCATGGTTCCGTTTGTAAATCCAGTTGAAGCTTTTTAAAGCACTGCAATATATCAGTTCTTTCAATAGATAATAGGACCTAAGCCTACCACTGTAGAACAGTTTCCTCAGAGCTTAAAAAACAAATAACTCTACTTTATTAAGATCAGACTCCAGGTCCCAGAAGAATATTTTTCCTATCATATTCCTATCAAGATATATATTCCTATTCCTATATGATATATAATCCTATCTCTCTCTCTCTCACTCTCTCTCTCTATATATATATGTAGATATATATGTAGATATATATATATATATGTATAATAAGAAATGTATTTCCTAAACTGAATAAAATCAGATTAAAGTACAATCTGTAAGTGCAGACAGATGACAATGGAAAAGCTATTAGAGGGTTGGAAGATGACACTATTGAAGGATGTGTTGAGGGATACTGAATTGAAGCAAATGGAAACACTGGGAAATAGAAGCAGAAAATCAACCAGTTATCATGCCAAAGATCCCCAGACTCTGCAGATATCAATTTGTGCCACAAACCAAGACACTTTATGTAGTATGGAAAGAAATAATCCTGGTTATAGATATATTTGGATGAAGGGTAATAGAGATTGACAATATAAAGAGGTAATATGATTGCTTTGAGATAGATGTCATTTGCTCATCCAACCAACAGCATCAAGTAGCTCTGACTAGCAGTAGCATTTTATTTGGTATAAAAAAATAATGGTGGAATTTTAAAATGTATTGAGTTTGTTTTACATACTTAAAAGTTGTAATGGTAGGAAATAGAGTTAAAAAATCCCTTAGGATTTTGTAATCTACTCCAAAGTCAGCATGAACAGAAAGAACTAAATAGAAATTTCTGTATTTTACATATTTGTGACTCATTGTGTTTCAGTTAAAGCAAGGAAATACTTTCTTACACGATTTGATCTAGCTTTTTTTTTTTTTTAAATAATTTTAAAGAAGAATTCAGTGGTCACTGTGGTTATCACTGACTATACCACCAGTGGGCTGAAACTACTTCCTCAGGTTTAGTATGTGGAAATCTGTTCAATCAGTGATTGTTCAGTTAATATTTTTCTAGGGTAGAAGCTGACAGATGCAGAAACTGGTGGCTGAGGTAGTGGGTGTGTTGCCACCTCTCTCTTTTGCTGAACTGAGGTGGAAAGTAGAGGCCAAAAGAGATGTTTTACATCCTCTGTCAATTGACCAGCATTTTACAAGCAGCCACTTGGCCTGCTTCAAGCTATGTTTACTGCCTGCTAACATAAGATTAAAATGAGTGTAATTTCCAGCTTTTGTGAAGAGTATCAGATGACTGAGTAATCAGATGTTCACCTGCATTGCTTACTGCCATGAAACATGGATTAAATGTGTAGTAAAAATATCAGTTTATCTGTACAAGGAGCTAGATATATTAATTTGCTTTCTTTGACCTAGCTTAGTTGTTTCATTGGAAGAGAAGGGAAAAGAGAAATGATGCCCTAATTATTTATATGTTTACAAGTCTGCCCCTCCCCTTAGGCTACTGTTAAGTTGTCACACTTCATACACTCTGTGCCACAGCAATTAAATATATCATTAAAAAGGCATTAATGATAGATCCAGTAGATTTCTCCTATCCAATCTCCACAATGATAGCAATCCAAGTTAGTGTTGATCTCTGAGTGATACTCTTGAAACCAAAGACCAACAAAGGGACAATTAGAGTGCTGCTAATATTCCCTGCATCTTGAGGTCAAATTGAAGAGCCAGGTGCTGACTGGTACCTTCTAACTTAAGTGGATGAGCGAAGAGCATCTCATTTGTATTCAATAAGTGAATTGTTCAATAAATGTGACAATTGGGTGTGTCACATTTATACTCAGTCTTTAGATACTAGATTGAACAATTTCTATAACACTGGCTCATTTGAAAGAGTTCTCAAAGGCTTCTGTTTCTTGGCTTTTGGTTTTAATTTTAAAACAAAAATAAAAAGGTACTCCCTGAGCAAATGGAGTACCCTATTGCCTTTGAAGCATTTGATCATTTATTTAATGAAATCATATATGTTTATTAAATGCCTACTGTGTGTTTTCAAGTTACTGTGGCCTCTGGTTTAGAGAAAAGGAAGAGTTCTTGTTCTTAAGGGTGTGCTTTTTTTTTCATTTAGAGGAGAAAGTAAATATTAAGGTGAAAACATAAATACTAACAAAAAACTTTAAATGATGAGGGCCAAATGATTTGTTCTCACAAGAAATTAGGTTTATGTATATATGAAGGAATTATTTCCAGCTAATATGATTAAGCAATTTACATATGATTGGGATTTAAGTTAAAAAAATTCAAGGTTGTAATTTTTATAGTTTTAAAGTAGAGGGAATATAAGTTTTATTTACTGGAGTAGTGGAATAAGAAGTAGTAAAGAACATTGGAAGCATATGGTAGAGGTTACTACAATTTTAACTTTCAGGTAATTAATTTTATTATACTAATCACACGAAGCAACATTGCAAAAAATAATGTAGGATTTAAAAAGAAAAGCAAAAGAAAAAATAACTTGGCCTAGCCTGCCTTCTCAAGCAAATGATCCATTTTCATTTTTCTATGTTCTTACTGAAGATTTTTGAACAGTGAAATGACATGATGAAAAGTGTGTTGTAGGCCTTTTAGGAAGATTAATCTATCAATAGTAAGCAAGATGGAGAGTGAAGAGAAGTGCCTGAAACCTAGAGACCAATTATAATTCTATTGAAGTAATCCAGGTGAGAAGTGATAAGGGCCTGAACAGAAATGGAAAGAAATGGGAAGTTGTAAGAGGTATTGAAATGGAAAAATCACTGATTGGATATGGGACATTAGAAAAAGGCAATCTTTAGAGACGACTGGAGCCTGAGTTAACAGTAATAGTTTCAGAGATGGAAAGCAGAAGTAGAATGATTACAGTAGGTATCATGAAAAATGATTTATGAAACATTATATTTGGGGAAATATGGTCACACAGAAATGATGCTAATATATTTAAAGATGGACAATTGGAATATATATGCATATTTCTAATCTTGAGGTCTTTTCCATATTCCAATCCTTCTTAATTATGTAAAAGGGACAGTTGAAGTGAAATCAGCATCATGGTGATGTGAATCAATGTTGTTGTTTTTTTTTAAATCTAGCTTTTGATTTACAACTAATCAGACAACTATAACCAAAAAAAAAAAAAAAAAAAAGTACCTTTGCAAAGTGTACCAGGCACCTGAGAGATTCATTCATCTATGCACCCAAAAGTGGGTGGATTGGATCACGGAGGAGGTGGCGGAGCAAGGAGAGTTGCAGAGAGGCCAGCAGTGGCCAGGGGCAGTGATGGAAGAGAAGTTGGTTGCTAGTCCAGCAGTTGCTGGTGCCCTTTGCTGGTAGAGAAGGGTGGAGGATGAAGGCAATGAATGGGGCCCCGCTAAGCCACGTGTGTGCAGCAGAAGGGAGTAGGTGCTCCCTGAGGAGAGACTGCACTGTCTAAGGGGAAGGAGAGGAAAGGGAAATAGGTAGACAGAATAGAAGCAAAATATCTCCTGTTGTCTGCCTCGGGAGGCAAGAGGACTGGCTTCTGGGACCCCCAGCTTGAGGATTTCCCTACCTCGTTGTGGGCACACCCGAAATCAGCTCCATTAAGAAAAACTAAAATCTTGTTCTCTATCTACAAAGCAAAAGATAGACTCCGCGCTGTGGAAGGCAAAGGGGTCTCACCCCAGAGCCTATTTGCGGGCTGCTTCTGCCAAACCTCATCAATCAGTGGCCTGGTACAGGACAGTCAGGGTTGTTGCTGAAGAACCCCGGGAAGAGGAGTTAGGACAGAAACAGGAGCTGCAGGAGAGGAACCATGGTCAGAGGAGACAGGCTCTCGGGACATCTGTCTGTCTGTCCTCCGGTACTCGTAAGATGTGGAGTTTTTCAGTGATCCCATCTCAAGTATTAGTTGTCATTCTTCACTAAATGCCATCTACTGGGGATGGTTACAGTTCTTCCTAAGAAGGATGGCTGATCTTTTCCTAAAGAAGTTCACATTACAGCCATAAAGACTGAGAATAACTGCCTTAGAAGATGTTTGTGTAAGTACATCCTACAGAGGCCGGTGCCCGTACAACAGTCCCCAGTACCAGCCTGCCTCATTCACACAAAAGCTCTTAGTACTGAAGACACCCAGGATGAGGGAAGGGGAAAAAAAAACAACAACCGATGAGACGGCTTTCAGTAACGTTGGGAGAAAAATAAACAAGTGTTATCATTCATGTGCTGGACGAGCAGGGCAACAACCACGTCCTCAGAGCGAACGTGATCAGGCTCGTGGCTGCCGAGCGGGACCTGCGGCTGGTGAAGAGGGACCCCAGCGTGGAACGCTTCCAGTATCAGCTCCTGACCGGCTCACAGATCACCAGGTGCGGCTGCGGCTCAGAAAGATGGAGAGGGCCTGGCTCAAGCTGGGACCCACCCTGACAAAGGCGCTGACTTTTTCTTCAAACGTTGGACAACGTGATTTGGATACAAAGAGTAAACAGATTAAAAAAAAAAGTACAAAGTTCAGATTACAATAACGAAAGGGAAGAATGCAGGCGAGCCAAAAAAAAAAAAAAAAATGCAGGAAACAATAGAATCCTCCAGACCATGTTTGAAACAGTGACCTTCTCATCCAGGCCTCAGTCCATCAGAGGTGACAAGGGTGTGATGTGTGTTCTTGGTCTCTTGAGCAAAAAGGAGGAGAATGCGTGGAGAGCAGCTCAAGGTACCCAGAGAGGAGACCCTGTGAGCAGGGAAAATGGGAAGGATGGAGCATCCGATGTCTTGCACCAGTGATTTTTAATAAAAAATATGCTTTTGAGAGACGAGAAAAAGAAGAAAAGAAAAAGGCTCCTAACTATCAATCTGTTGAGCTATTATAACTGAAGTGACCCAAGCCTTGCCTAAGTGAGAAAAAGAAAATGGCAGTTTTCCAGCAACCAGACCCAAAGACATGGGCTATTATGATCTATATAAGGAATTTTAAAGAGCTGTTATGAAGAAATCCAGCAAACTAAAGAAAATTCAGAAAGGCAGTTCAATGACCTCAGAAATAAAAACTAACAGACAGAGGAGTACTTTACTAAAGAGACTGAAATTCTAAAAAAGAAACAAGTAGAAATTCTGGAGCTGAAGTACTCAATAAATAAGGTGAAGAATGCCTTAGAAAGCTTTGGAAATAGAACAGATCATAAGGAAGAGAGAATTATCAAGCTCAAGGGAAAAAATATAGAAATAATTTTGATGCAAGAGGAAAGAAAAGATTTTTATCAAGTGAAGAAACTATGTGAGAACTGATTCCATTAGAAAAGTCAACGCAAGAACAATGTTTCTTAGAAGCAGAAGAGAGGGAGAAGGGAGCAGAGAGTATATTTAAAAAATGATAGTTGAGAACTTCTCAAACCTGGAAACAGCTTGGTATACAAGTCTATGAAATTATACAACACTTTATTATCTCAATGCAAAAAGATCTTCTTCAAGATACATTATATTGAAATTATCAAAAGTTAACAATACAGGAAAAATTTTAAAAGCAGCAAGGGAAAAAAAGACTGTCACCTATAAAGGTATCCCCCCCCCCCCCCCCCCTTAGGCTATCAAGAGATTTCTTAGCAGAAACTCTACAGGACAGAAAATAGTAGAATGGCATATTCAAAATATTGAACCATAAAAATTGCCAGCCAAGAACATTCTATTCAGCAAAGTTATCATTCAAATATGAAGGATAAATTGAGGTTTACCAGATAAACAAAAGTGAGAGAGTTCACTACCACTAGACCTACCTTACAAAAAATATTGAAAATAACTTTTTAAGCTGAAACAAAAAGACTGAAGTACACAATACTCTAATCTATAGGGACAGGTAGGATGGAAGACTGAAATTAGGCCAACTAGGGAGCTGTTTCATTAGTCCAGGCAAGGGATACTGCAAGATAACTTGAATTAGAATTATAGTTGTGGAAACAGTGAGTATTGATTGGATCTGGCCAACATTTAGAAGCTAGAGCTGATCTGATTTGATAGTGAATAAGGTATGAGGTGTGAGAACAAGAAAAATTTTTTTAAAAAAAGGTGTTGTTTTATAGACTTAAACAACTAAAAATGTTGGTACCATTTACTAATGTGAGTAAGACAGAGGAAAGTGCAGGAAATGCTTTTTTTGGTTTGTTTAATGTGTTAATCCTGGTTTTAGTCTGGGACATCCCCGTGGTGATGTTGTCTAGACAGTTGGACACAAGAGGCTTAACTAAGAGTGAAGTTTTGGACATATAAGTTTGCTCTTCATCCATAACAGGGGAAATAAGGAGAAATCTGCTATGAACATTAAGAATAATCACTGAGATATGAAAGTCTGGAGAAGGTGAGGAATGAAAGAATGTTTCAAGAAAAGCTTCTTCAGCTCTGTCTAATTCTGGTGAGAAGTAGAGTAAGATATGTTCACAGAATTAGATAGGGGAGATTTGCACTGGTTGTATTAAAAGTAAACAGGATCATTATTTAGTTGGTTAATCAAATCTAAGTATCTTTTTCTTTGAATAGATTTTTTAGGCAAGGCTCAAGGTGTTTTCATGTGAAGGAATGGTACTCTTATGTGAAGTAGAGTCACAGAAAATGGAGGGCAGCATTAGAACAGGCAGCTCTGGAGAGGGTATTTGTAAATATAGGTCTTTATGAGGAGGTTTTTGATTATTGCTTCAATTTTGTTAGTCATTATTAGTTTCTTTAGATTTTCTAATTCTTCATGATTCAGTCCTGGTAGGTTGTGTGTTTCTAGGAATTTATCCATTTTTTCCCTAAGTTGTACAGTTTATTGGCTTGTAATTGTTCACAGTAGCTTCTTATATCTTTTGTATTTCTGCTTTGATAATGACAATGTATCCTCTTTCATTTTTAATTTTATGTGAGTCTTCTCTCTTTTCTCTGGGTTAATCTAGTCAAAGATTGGTCAATTTTGTTTACCTTTTCTAAAAATAAACTCAGTGTCATTAATTTTTTTCTACTATGTATCTAGTCTCTATCATCTGTTTCTGATCTAATCTTTATTTTTCCTTTCTCTCATCTAACAGGTATAGTTTGTTCTTCTTTTTCTAATGATTTGAGGTTGTAAAGGTAGTTTGTTTATTTTAGCTCTCTTTTTTAATGTAGTATTTATTGCTATAAACTTCCCGCTTAGAACAACTTTTGCTGCATCCCATCTGTTTTAGTGTGTTTTCCTATATATTTGTCTCAAATACTTTGTAATTTCACATTTGTTATCTTCTTTGACTCGGTTGTTCAGTAGCGTGCTGTTTAATTTCTACTTATTTGTAAATTTTCCAGCTTTCTTCCTGTTGGTGGTGATTAGTGGTTTAGTTGCTAAGTCATGTCCTACTCTTGCAACCCCATGAACTGTATTCTGCCAAGTTCCTCTGTCCATGGGATTCTCCAGGCGAGAATACTGGAGTCGGTTGTCATTTTGATTTCTAATTTCATACCATTGTGGTTAGAGAAAAACTTGACATGACTTCAATAATTACTTTAACATTTTTTTCATAATTGTTCTAAGTACTGGGGTTATGATGGCAAGCAAGAGTGAGAAGGTGCTTGACCTAAATGAAGAAAAATAACAACAAAAAATTTTAAATTGTGATTTTTTCAGAGAATTATGAAGTAGGTAGGAAATAATAGAAGATGGAAGATGGGTTAATTAGGAAATTTTCTGAGAATTTAACATTAAAAATGAAGGATGAGCAGTGTGTTTTATAGAGGTCAGAAGGAGGAAGAAGAAATGAGAAGAAAACATCCTTAGGGACAGAAAGTTCCAGGTGCAAGGGCCTCGGGTGAGAAAAGGAATATTTCCTTTCATTATTATTATTGTTAGCATGTTCTTTATAATTTAGCCATAGTGCTTTTTGTGGTTAAACAGTAAAATTAGGGATATTAATACCTCATTAATATGCAACAAGTTGTATATGTTTATAATATTTTTTAAAACAAAAATACTTGCAATATTCTGTTTCTTAATATAAATTATACCTGAGAATTGATATCTTCAGTTCCATTTCTCTGTTTTCAACTTGCTGGTTTTGCAAAAAGGTGAGAAAGGTCATTTAATTGGCATTTTTTTTTTTACTTTATGCAAATAATTTTATTTTAGCTAAAGGATGTGCATTTAAAAATTTTCATCATTAGTTTCAGCATGAAAATGTCTAAAAAGATAGGAGCTGTACAATGTTTAGTGTTTTTTCTTCCCTCTAACTTTGGGGTTTGTATAGAGATAGCACCATATAACCTAAAAAAAGATGAATACAATTTTTAAAATGTTTTATGCTTTTTATACAAAGCAAGGTGAAATTATATTAAGCCATTGACCTCTTGATCTTGACCTTGCATTGACTATTTAAAGGGAATAAAAATAAAGACATTCATTGCTAAGAATAAATTTCTTACCTTAAATTGAGAGAAAATAAAAGCCCTGACAACCTTGACAGAAAGTCAGAGGTTTTCATCTTTGGAGTAAACAGGTATCCACACATTCAAGGGCAAAAAAATGCTAAAATCTTAAGGCGCAGAGAGAATGTTACAGAGAGCCTTGCTGGGCCTACTGAGGTTAAATCATTTATTACTTCATGCACTTTCAATCTGTCTCCTTGATGTAGTAGTTTCAACCTATCTCCATGATCTAGTATGTTAGGGCTGTTAATGCTTTTATTAATTTTAAGCTGTTAAATTATCACCTTTACATTTGGATATACATGAAATTGTTTCTTTTGGGAAAGGATCTTATTGAGCAGTGTTTGAACATTCAACCTTGAAAGGGAAGTTATATGAACTTCTCGCTAAACTCTTTATCTTTCTCAGTGAGTTATCACATAGTTTGCCTGGCAGTAAGCTGATTGAAAGTAGATTGGTGGGCTGGGAGATATCACAGATGCCTCACTTTCCTTAACCTCTCATATGCCACTGCAACCTCCCGTCATCTTTAAAATTTAGTTTATTGTTGCAAGAACACTTAATGTGAGATCTACCCTCTTTGTAAATATTTAAGTTTGCAATAATTTATTGTTGGCCATACCTATAATATTGTACAGTTGATCTCTAGAGTTTATTCATCTTGCTCGGCTGTAACTTTATGCCTATTTCCATCATCATCTTTTGATGGGCTTTTAAAAATAGCTCCCTGTTTCCCAGCCTACAGATTCATTTTCTAACAGTCACCATCTCACAAACTATTGAATACTTGAAAGAGATTTCCAAAACATAACATATCTATGACCACTTCACTTTTCAATTGAAAATCCTTCAGTCGTTTCCTTTCACCTTTTAGATTCATGATAAGCAAAGATTCCTGTCTGCTTTTCCCAACTTATTGTCAGACTCTGTCAGGCAGTAGAATACAGTGTCTCAACATTTCACCATCCATATATTCAATAAAGCAAGAATTAGCTGAAAATTTCTCC